TCACTCAGACCTCTTCAATCTATTGAATTTGATGCACGCGTTGTAATACCCTGTGGGGATCTTAAGAATCAGTCTTATATCCATACTAGGGCTGAGACTGTATGTTTGTGTGCGGACCCCGTCCTAGTTATGAAGAGTAGTTATGAAGGTGGTTACTACCCATGTTCTTGTGGGACATGATAGGGTGGATGATTACATCTGGGGAATATATCTCACCAACCTACTACTACCCCACACAATGGGGAAAGGATAATTGGGGACAGAAATTAAGGGGCAAAATCCAGCTTAAGAAAGTTACTCCCCCTCCCAATTGTCAGCCCCTCCAACACTGACATAATGATCCCCATTCCATGACCACAGAGCCATCTGTCTTAAGGAACTATGGATTAGGAGCTAATCTTATTGGGAACACTGATGTATAGGTTCATTTCTCTTAGAATTGCTCAAAGAACCTGCTACCACAACATCCTCTAATGTCCTGTCCCCAACACTATCCCACAGTTCCGTCATAATCAGAGCGGGATAACTGTAGTGGAAGTCAAAAGATCTAAGACAGACTATAGCTATTAAAACTGGTTATGGGGAGACAAATGCCAAGCTGAAGTGGATTAAATATTCTTGTCTGGACTTAAAACAGAAGCGTTTGCTATACATGTGCAACAGGAAGACCAGAAACCCAAGCTGTCTTCTTTCCCTCTGGGATGGGCCACTGATCCTACTGGTGTGGCATGTATGATTGCCCTCTTCCAAGAAAAAACAGCCTGGGGCAATGGCTCTTGCAGGACTTTGTCACTACTGTTTCCCATGATTAATGACCACGAGAGAGGCTAAAGCTGCATTGGTCAATTAGACCCCCCATCTCGAAGCTCTAACTTTGCCTCTTTCTTCTCTAGGTGTGTGTGGCAGAGAAGGGCTAGTTTCTGGGAAACAAACCTGGGTGCAGTGAAGGCCAATCCTTTGAAGAGATGAGCAATGTCTGCTCTGTCACCTGGGCAGATGTCTGTATAGCAGTTTACTTTGAGACTGCTAGTAAAATGGGATTTGCACTTTAGTACAATTGGCCATCCCTTTCACCCTGCCATTCCCAAAACCCAAACTTCCCCCAACCATGTCTACATAGATGCCATTGGGGTCCCACGGCCCCCAATGGCATCTATGTAGACATGGTTGATGAATTCAAAGCAAAAAATCAAATAGCAGCAGGATGTAAATTAGATTAACTATATCTTTTATAACCAACAGGGATTTGTCAATTATACTAGGGCTGCAATGAAGGGGACTGCAGAACTACGCCCCACCAGTAAGATGGCATGGGAAAACTGTCTCTGGAGATGATTCTGGCAGAAAAGCGAGGCGGGGAATGCGTCCTGATTCGGGGTGAATGTTGGGACCACAACCAAGGCTCTCCAAGTCCTGACATCCCTGTCAAACAACTAGCTAAGATAAATGACTCCCTTACTAACAACTGGCTAGAACAGTTTAAAAAAAAATAGTAGTGATGACCTCAATCTTAACATCCCTCGTTGTATTTGAGGCAATGGCTTTAATTGGGTGTTGTGTTATACCCTGTATATGGGGACTAATTCCTAGACTCACAGAAACCTAACTAAAACTCACATATCATACCAATTATTGTTGAGTACACCTAAAACAGTCAAATGATGTTAAATGAGTTTGAAGAAAAGAATGGGAAACAAAAAGTGGGGGAACTATGAGGAAAACTGTTTTCTATCAAAATGTACCACCATCTTAGCTGCTTGCAGTTCTGGGTTCTTGTTCACTGCCAAATTCCAAATGTAGCATTAGCCAATCACAAGCAAATTGTGCACCCAAACTCAACCAATCTGAGTAAAGGGTGAAGGGCTCCACTGTGTCAGAAATAAAAATGAGGACCTATGGTCTGCTCCTTGTGCTTGCTGTGCCCATGTGCCTGTATACCCATCTGCAGAAGTAAATTTTGCCTGGGTGAGGCAATTTTCCATTTCTGTGTCTTCAACTGTGACCCCGGATGGTCTTTGGGGGTCTTAGGGTCTCATAAACTGTTTTTCCTGGCATGGAACAGTGATCCTGATCTCTGCCTCCTGAGTAGCTAGGATTACAGGCCTGAGCCACTGGCGCCAGGCTGGGAATATTTATTATTGAAGTGACTCATTCACAGGAGAGGGCAATGTTTGACCCAAGGGAATGCCCTTGGGTCATAATAAATAATAATAAATAATGCCAAAGTATCAGGCATTATTTTTGTTTACAGGAGCACGGAATCACATCAAAGTTAGTCCCACTTAGATTCTGAGAGGAAAGCCAGGGGAGACTAAAAACAAACCAAAGAACCAAACAAAAGTAGCCAAGAAAGGTAAGACATTTTATTTTACATACAAAAAGGGTGCAAACTGAGTCCTTTCTTCCCCAAATTGGGGAAGAGGTATACTTAAAGATCACATTTGTGTTTTCCATTGTGCCCTAGGAAATGGGCTACTCTGAGATAAGACCCACTTTCCATTTTCTCCAAAGGTGGCTTCTTCCTCTGTAGATGAATTTTTCCTAATGGTGTACAAATCTCTCTCCTGGAGGAACCATTTCAAATACATTTGAAATTGACATTCTGTTTAAAAATACTACAAGTTTCATTTTCACAGCTGAGTTGTTCAACCAGTGCCAGGGTTTAGGAAACAATACATATCTTAAAAAATAAAATAAAAAAGGCATTTAACGATAGACACAACCACACAATTAAAACTTATTTCTCCATAGCTGACTTATACATTATCTAGATTAAAAAAAATGCAATCAACATTTCAACATCTTTTTAAAAGAGTATAATGGGCAAAGATGAAAGGAACAGACAATAATAAATTAGAGCATATAAGATATCCAATGGGAATTATTGAATCAACATTATTTTCCATTAGAGGGGTTAAAATATTTTTGGTTTTTTTTAATCTACCTTTTCTGTTACTCTTCTCTCTGCTTGATTAATGGGGCTCATTCCTAGAGCCGGCTTGCTCAGACACTGATTTGAGGAGCTCTCATCTAATTTATCTCTGAGAATACTCAGGAACACATGGTTCCCAGCAGCCTAGGCTGTCTTTATGAAAATGAAAATGCACACAGATGAGTGCACACACAGCAATCACACCCCTCCATCTGTAAATATACTTATCCCCAAAGAAATGGCTCATCTTTCCTGAGACATTTCTATCACTGATAACCCTCTATGAGGCTTTTGGTGCAAGGGCTGGCCTGGGATTTGGTCTTGAGTCCATGAAAAGGAACAATGAAAATGTCTCACCTACCCTGAAAGATGGATTTGGGGGGTGGTCAGGGCAGTAGTCCTCTTGTGGATTACTGGGATGACTGCACTGCACCCCCACTTGTTACCGTGGATAATCCTCCATTGAGACCTTAAAGGTGGTAATGGCACTGGAAATATGATTGTGAGGAATAAAAAAGAAAAAAAAAAAAAAGAAATCCTATCCACACGACTGAGGTTTCTTTATAATGTCAAGTTTGGTAATAAAACTAAAAGTATATGGAATTCATGTCCACTTTTTCCTTTGTAAGCTGATCTACAAATACTGGAGTGGGCTTCTTGGTTGGTTTTTGAGAAAATATGTCAACTGCTATTTCCTATATTCAGGGACCTACTTACTATTCTGAATACAATGAGAAACCTATTCTTTTGCATTTAGTTACCTGCAAAAGGAGTTAGGAAAAACATTTTTAAGACTGCTTACTGGATCAAAGACTCCAAGACTTGTGGCTTAAAGCACTGCTCAAAATTCTACAAAGCCACAAAAGGGCCATGGTTGCCTTTTTCCTTTTCTTAGAACTCCCCCCTGCCTCAAAAAACAACCCAAACCCAAAGGAATCCCAATCTGATTCCTACCAACTCATCATGAGCAAGACTGGGAGTCACTGGCCATCAACCTCTAGATGGGACTGCCTTATAGTCTGCAAAACCAAGAACCCCAGAGATAAGTGCCTGTCACCCACATGGTCAATCCAGGTGGGGTACCTAGAATCCTGGCTCCCTGAGGGTCTCTGGAATTCATTAGCTCACTTTGGGCAATGGTGGGGATGGTGGCAGTGGCCTGGCAAAGGCAAAGTTGGCTGTATGGCCTTACAAACTCCCAATCTGAGAAACTCTAGCCCTGGCATGGCTATAACTGGAGACATTGTCAGGGCAACTCAGTGGGAATGGAAAACTGGTTTCAATATGGACATGGGGAGAGGTGGCTGGAACACAGGAGGCAAGTGAGCTTGGGAGAGAAGCATCAGAAGACCAAGTTCCTTTGTGGAGATGCTTTCGAGGCTGCTATGGAAGTTATCTGGGAGAAGTGCAGCCATGCTTATTCACCGGGAGGGGAATGGATTTTATCTTCTATGTTACAAAAAAGTTAAGGCTATGATGTTAGTAACCACTATAATATAACATTGCCACTGCTGCATATTTCTGACACCAAGAGTGGTTACTAACACTCTTAAAATCATAAACATTACCAGCATACATGTCCACTGAACTAAACTGAAGGTTACTTTAAGAGAAGATGGACTGTTTGGCTCATGGGCAAGGACTGTTTCTACATATTTATACTTTCCTCTAAATATACAAGAAATCAACACTTCTAGAAATGTCACAATCTCTATCTTCTGCAGCTCATGCTGGAATTTTAACCAGCTAACTTAGTCACCTGACTCATACTATCCTGGACCTTGTTTACTGCTAGACAGACCCTACATAGACAATTAAGGCAGTCATGAATGCTCAGTGGCTGCTGGGATGTTCCTTTCACCTTGGAGGGCAGTCTGCAGTGAGAACTCTGAAAAGTGCCAAGGTGTGTGGAGTAAGTGATTCACCTTTCCATGACTAGACTGCACAGGCACAAATACTGGTAGACACTTTCCACCCTGGTGGACTCCTCACCTGCTTGCATCAGTCCAGTCAGGCTGCAATGCCTGAGGCATGGTAGGACTTAAGAGAACTCTAATGGTATAACATTAAGGTTTTTATTTTCTTCATAAAAAAAACAAAAAATGGAGCTTAGAACTGGATCACTTGTCCCTTTCTCTTCTTGTCCCCTCCCAGTTCAAAATGCTTGCATCTCTTAATAGCCAGCATTCTCTTAGATCTGCAGTTGGGCTCAACACACTCAAGCCTCAGCACTATTTTCTTTGTAGTTTTAGCTTTTTTCCAGAAAATGGGCTTGGTCTGCCCACCATAGCCACTCTGCTTCCTGTCATAACGCCGCTTTCCCTGGGCATACAGAGAATCCTTGCCGTTCTTGTACTGGGTCACTTTGTGAGGCTGGTGCTTGCCGCACTTTTTACAGAAAGTCTGGCGGGTTTTAGGAACGTTAACCATGATTACGGGAGGGCTATCCGCACCAAAAGAAAGCTTTTTTTTTTTTTAAAATGAACAGATGCTGGATTAGATTTACAAGAAAATAACAGCATCAATTTCAAAGAAAATGATCTTCTAGAATCATGGTTGTAAAATGTAGAAAGCTCAAAATCTACAGAGCAAGTGGATTTGGGGCTTGGGAAGATGAAGTGAGTGCCTGTACCCTACCATCTGGTTGAGGCCTAAGGCACAGCAACTACTGCAACAGGACTGAGGAGGGAGCCTGATGTGCTGGCAGGGCTGGAACTGATTGCCAAATTGCTTCTAGGGTAATTGGTTTGGATTTTTGTTTTGTTTTCTTAATTTTAAGGAAGATCATAACAGAATCTCTCAGGTCTGGGAGCACCTTGGAGTGTCAATGGCCTTGGAAAGATCACCAGAATCCTGCATGCTAAAGGAACCTGGGGGCTCTTCACCGTTGTTATGAAAACCAAGTATCTAGTACTTTGTGGGGGTTAGAGGGTGAGATCAGTGCATTAGGAAGAACACTTTGCTCCCCCCCACCAACTAACTGTTCAAGTTCAACCCCTCAAAAGCTAGTCTATAAAAAGAATTTAAGACAAAAAAAGTTACAAGCTCAGCTGCAAGACAGCCTGCCCTGAAACCAAGCTGATCACTGCCTTTGATTTTTTGTGGAAACAGGGTTGGGGGAGGCACTTAGTGGGGTACAGAGTGCCAGGATGTTCCAGGCTTTGCCACAATTTCCCCCTGCCCTCTCTTGAGAGGCAAGGAGTTTTCTGTACAGGGGCCAGGAAGTTAAAGTTCCTATGTGGGAAGTTAAGAATTGCCCTCATGCCAAATGTAAATCTCACTGATGGGCAAAAGGAAGCCAACACCAATATTCAGTCCTTATGGGGAAGGGGTGTGACAATGCCTCTCCCTACCACTCTGTTTCATATACAGAAACGTTTCTTGTAAAGGAATGCCAGATTACAATCTTTACATAAGCTAAGCAGGTCTGAAGCCAGTGAAGTGATACTCTCTAGCCAAGATCAGTTAGGTGAATCCCACTTACTATACTACCTCTGTTTCATGTAAGGTACATCAAGAGACTCGTCAGGAAAAGTCAACTACCAGAAAGTATTCACACATCCTCCAGTCCAAAAGATATCCCTACATAAAGCCAGAAGCAAACATTTCCGTGCTCCACAAACCACCAGACTGTTACTAGCCATTGTCCCGCATGTAGCTTCCTATTCCTAGATACAAAAGCTTCTTTCCTGATGTGGATACTCTTCTCTCATGCCACATCTGGAATGAGAAGTCACTGTTTGAAAAGGTCACTAAACTCATGAAAACAGAGCATGAGAAGAGTAACCCTACATATTAGTTAAACTCTTCAAACAGTGAATGAGGAACCAAGACGCTTTGTGGTAGAACATCATGTGAATATACCATGATGGTAGATAGAGGGTGTACTGGGGAAAACATGCTCAGAAGCATGGCCACCTTCTCTGGAATTGAAAAGGTAATTTCACTGCAGTATCCTTTTCCCTGGAATCTTCCAGCACAACCAGTATTACCCTCCTGTTCACTGCAGCCCCAGGTAGCAAGTCCTAAACCCACTGTTAAGGACCTGCTCAGAGATCTTCAGGGGCTTGGTTTCTGATAAGGCAGGCCGGCCCAAATGCTACAACTCAGTATTGGGGCAGACAGGACATACCAATTTCATTTCCTGGCCCTATTATGCTGCACCCCGAGGCTTCTCTGGCAGTTAGTTGGAAGGCAAAGTTCACTGCCCTCTTTTTATCCACTAATGTCAATGTGGCGGCGGCTGTTTAATCACTAATTTTGTCCTCCAAGTCACCAAAAAGTCGCATGGCTATCGAGTAGGAAGAAAGTCTCTGGCAGTGGAGCAAACAGACATTGTGTTTGTTTTGTTTTGTTTTGTTTTTTGTTATGCATCTCCTCTCTGGGATGAGGTGTCTCCTGGTTAGTCTAGTGCTCCACCCACATGCAGGAGAACTGGGCTTTCAAACTGAAGGCTGTTAGGTCAAGAGGTTCTAGTGGGGGCTTTCTTCAGCAGCTCAGAAGATGAATGAAAATTCAAGTATTGTTCCTTGTCAACCTGAGTATTCAGTCAGGATGACAAAGTTTGGCTTCTTCTCTTCTGGGTGCTGCAAATCAAACTTTTCATCAAGAATGTCCTCTGGACCCATGTGCTCTCTGAATGGCTTGGCTGGCCCATCCCCCTCAAAACAGAAAAAAAAATAACCCCCCCCAATATATAACCAGACACAATATGCATCTGCCATGTTGTTAAAAAAAAGAAAAAAACCCAACAAACTAAAAGTGCAATAAAGTCAGTTTTCTTTTCTTTGCTCAGAACAATTTGCATGTCCTGCTACTGCCTGGAAAAAGGAATTTGCTTGTCAAGAAAGCGAAGAATGCCAACACACAGGGACAGTAGACTGCAGATTTCTCACAGCTTGTGTCCTACAGTGTAACTTCACAGGAGTGAGGGAAGAAGGAACCTGAACCCCATGGCCATGGCTGGAGGCTGCACAGGCATAGAGGGAGAAAAACCATGCCACCAAACACTCTGGGAGGTGGAGATGGTTCTTCTCCAGTCCAGGTCTGCCATATTCCTCTTACCTTCTTGGCTGTGCCCCAGCCTCTTGAGCCCTTTCCTTAGACAAGGCCTTCAGCTCAGTAGCTTTGATGTTGGAGAGGGCTGAGGGTGGGACAAGAACCAGGAGTAAAGGAAAGGGAGGGAAGAGAATAGTAGTCCTTGAGTTTTTGTGAATGACACCTTCACTGTAAACAATGGGAAGAAGAGTTGACCAGGCAGCCCCAAGGGCGAGCAGTGGAGGAGCAGCAGCTCTGGGACAGCTCAGAGCATCACAGGCGGGATGGCCACTGACACACTGGGTCCTGGCTGCCTGCACAGGCTCCTTCTAGGGCATATGTTTTCTTCTTTTTGGTTTGGATCTCCACCCTCCCCTACAGAGGAGTCCCTTCCAATGAGAAATGGCAGGAGCTGCACGTGCAATTGAGTCAGGGTCCCCAAGGTCTGAGGACTCTTGGGAGGCACTGGTCACTTGTGGCGCTGAGCAGTCTTCTTCCTTTTCCTTTTAAAGAAACAGCAGCACCTGGAGCACAAGGAATACTGCATGTCAGTGCTAGAGGCCTGTAGCTTCTAGCAGACCTCTGCCTGATTCTGCTTGCTGAAGAGGGTAGGATTTTTCCCTAGGGCGCCCACCCACAGGACCACCTACTATCTATATTGGGCATACTCAAAGCAGCAGGCAGTGTCTGCCAGGAAAGTCAAATGAAATAGCTGCTTGATTTCAATTTATAGCCACCTATAAAAATGCTTAGCCTAAGTATGGCTGAAACAGGCATTTCTGGAAGGAGGATGAAGAGGGCTTTTTTCTTAGTCTGACACCCAATCCAGATACTCTAGCTTTTTCTAGAACCAAAGCTGGGGATTTGTGGGCTAAACTAAGGCAAATAAATCTCATACAAAGTATGAAGGTTGGAACCCTAGGAGGTTGTCATTATGCTATCAACAAAGGATGAAAAATTCTCCCCATTCTTGCTCCCCCAGATACCTGAAGTAGGCAGGAGGAACTCTGGTTCAAGTAACTGTGAACCCCCATCTCCTTGAGACCAGCAATCATCCCCTCTCATTCTGAAAAAACCAATATCAGGAGCTGATCCTCAGGAGTCTCTCTTCTGGTTGCCAGGTACTCCCCACTTAGCTCCCTGAGACTGATGGTTCTGTGCCATATGGGCTTAGGAACTAGTCTGTTTAGGGTAGAGGTTGGGGCCCTCCACATGCCACCTTCTGGGGAGCAGCAGCACTCCTGACATCCCCTTCTTCCCCCCAAACCTGACGATCCCTCCTTACTCTGGCCTTTGGGCTAAGAAGTGTGATTGTTGTTTAGATAATCCAGAAGGGGGTGATGAGGGCTGTGGTAAAGCTGATGCAAAAGATGTTTTCTCCAGGGAAACAACACATGGAGAATGAAAATGTGAGGATCAAAGGTAGTGGATGAGCCAAAGAGGCCAGGATGATGGAGGGAAGTGAAGTTGAAAGTGTAGCTCAGATTTGCTTGACTCTTGAAAGAAAAGCTTTTTTTGAGAAAACTTCAGGTCTCTTTTTTGAGAAATCTTTAGGTCTCTTGCCTAATCCTTCCAATTTTTAATGCAAGGAATATTCACATAGAAATACAGGTGTCAGAACTTCTGACACCCTTAAGTTCTCCACTATAGCTAAGGTTCGCTTTCTTTTCAGACCTCTTGGTATTACTATATCCAATAGACTTACTATAACTTGGAGAAAGTTTCTTAGAATGCAGAAATATACATTCACACAGACAATGATAGGCTTTAACGGTATCTCAATGAATAAGATTTGGAAATTTGGGGAATTTGGAGTTTTTTAAGAGGATCTTAAAATTTTTTCTCTGAGAGTTATCAATGACAATCATAAGTCCACTGATAGACTCTGCACAGATGTGTTACTCTCAGAAGAGAATAAGGGCAATGATCAACTCATGTTTTAGGCTTCCTTCAGTTGATTCTTTGGTTGACCAGACATTCTTAACATTAGCTAGAGTCAAAACTGATCTAGGATTCCCTACTCATGAGCCATCAAGTGCTCTTCTCAGGCTGGTGGAGTGTCTCAAGTGGTACAGTGCCTGCTTAGCAAGCATCCTCAAGGCCCTGAGTTCAAATCCTAGTACTGCAAAAAAAAAAAAAAAAAAAAAGGTGCTCTTCTCACACTTTTTTCACATGACTCCCTTACTATGTTCTGGCTCTCTTCCTTCAGCTTTTCCCTCACTATGTTCCTTTTCTCTACCATGCTTGAACATTCTTCCTCTGCTCTATGATTTAGCTCAAGTCCTGTTGTGACCACTCATAGTGACCTCTCAGCTTTTTGGAAATGATAACGTAGTGTCTACAGAACACCTTGCCCTTTCACATGTGTACGTCTTCTTTCTCCAGATGGCACCTAAATTCTTTGGGCAGGCCCTGGGGCCCCTCCTGGAGTTCCAAGCACAGGGTTGGATGAGCATAGTAGGTCTTCCAGTATTTGCAGTCAGGATCACAAGAAAAATGACCATGATAATGTCAAATTACACAGACACATACTTGCAAAATGAATAGGCCAAACGTACTCTTTGAAACCCTAAGACTATAAATCCTATTTCCATAAAAACCAACTACTATCTTCAATACATCCCTGTTTTTAGGGAAACCATGTAGGCAATTTGGCTTAGATAGTTAGGGCCCAGAAACTAGTGTCCAACCCTGTCATTGAAGAGAAACAGAAATGATGTAGTCACAGAGTAAAGCAGGTTATTATGGTGTAGAATAACCCTGTGTGTATAGACAATATGGGAGGGTTATGATTCCAGACTATAACAGACCAGCAAGTTCAGGAGTGCCTGAATACCACAGGCATTATCCAGCAAAAGAGCTAGTGAGGGGACTCTCTCCCATAACAAGAATGTTCCTCACCAACATGAATCCTTTAGGTTTCTCCTTCATTATGCTCCCTTGTTATTTCTACGAATGTATTCAAGGAACCTTTTCCAGAGTGGAAAAGTCAGGCTCCAATATCTCTATCAGCTGAGTCAGCCCTTGGCCTACTATCTTTTCTTATAGGAATAAAGAAAAAGACAATAAATGAAAAACAAACAACAATACAATGTCCACCTCTCCCTCAAGGAGTTCTCTCTCTCTCTCTCTCTTTTTTTTTTTAAAAAACTCCTACTCTAGAGAAAAAAGAACTAGCTGAGTGAAAAAGAAGTCATAGATTTTTCCAAAGCAGCCAATTTCCTAGTTAGAAACCAAGCTGTAGAATGTGCAATTATCTGGCAACTTGTTTTTGTGGTTGTGAGGAACACTACTGACATCTAAACAACTGATATGGTATGGTAACCTTGTCATTTTATATCAGTCCCTCTCCCTGATAATATCTGACTGTATTATTTTGGAGAAAATTAACTCAACTAAAAATAAAAAAGGTAAGTTCGGATATTGTGGAATATTGTTTTGGCAGCAGAAAGGCAGAGATAAATGAGGTGGGTTTGAAAGGAAAGAAGGAATAGATTAATTCCTGTATAGAAGCATGCCCCATCTCCACCTTATGGATCTATTTCCCCAGTTTGGGATGGTTATGGCACAAGGAGGCATATGGAAGCCATTCAATGTTCCTAAAGTATTTTGTTTAGCTTTGCCAATCCCAACCTAGTCTGGTCTGCTCCCCTTGCATGTGGACTGGAGAGTGGGACTCACCACAGGTTGAGCATTTTCAGGCAGCTACAGAATATGTAAAGGGAAAAACACAGAAAGGAAGAGAGAGAAAGAGAGATATTAGTCCACAGAGGTGAGATGGAAGCAACTCCCTGTGAGCCATGCAAACATGCAGTACATGTCTGTGTTTAGTTTCTTCCTGTTGAGATAGGGTGAATAGGCTACTTGGTCCCCACATTAAAGTGCAGGGGCAGGAGTCTGACAGAGGTATCAAGGTAGGAGCTGGATCTCAGCAGGAAGGCAAAAGGGAAAGAGTTGGTGGGAGTCTCAGAGTTGGTGGGAGTCTCAGGGTTGGCTTTCCTGGCAACTTCTAAAAAGGCAGCAGTGGAAGTAGCAAATTGACCCTGCTTGTAAGAACTCAGTCAAGCACCAAAGCTGAGTCATTTGGTTCCCACAAAAGGCGGAAACAAGAAGTTGTGCTAATCTACTTACTCCAAGGGAAAAAGAAGTTCCCTAGGTTTCTGTAAGTCTAACATGCCTGAACAAAGCAGCTAGTAGCTAGTAGTAACTCTTCCTTGAGAGAGACAGAGAGAGAGAGAGAGAGAGAGAGAGAGAGAGAGAGAGAGAGAGAAAATAAAAGGTTTAAGAGACACTAACTTTATCTTATCAGAACATGAACCAGAGGAAGGAGGTTCACTGCTCTGGGTACAACTCCCAGAGAAGGGCTTAAATCCTACTGTTATTAATTCTCAGGAGAAATAAGTTATAGCTAAAGTCTGAATAACCAAAAATTCCTATGTTCTTACCATAACAAAAATCAACCAAAAAGCTGCCTGCTCCCACCAGTCTTCCAAACATACTTAAACAAGGACATTTGTCCTACAACTAGAGAAAAAGGGAAGTCAAATGTTCATTTTGAACACAGAACAAAAACCAAGACCTTGTTATTTGTTTCCACCTTTACACAAAACAAGCTGGGTGAGGAACCAAAATCAAAAGCTTGGAAGGAAAGGTTTCACACAGTCTTTCCAGTACCCAAGTTGAATTGCAATATAGGCACAGCCCCCTTCAACCCACAAACAGGCTGCATGAACAAATGGCATCACAGCTGCGTGCAATGAGGGGTTGTTTGGGATACCTCATGCTTCTCTAGCTGTGACTTCTTCCCATGAAAATAATCAAGCAAGTGGACACATGGCTACCCTGTTTCTGCCCCCATACAGACAGAAGGCCAAGAAGAGTAACACATGGCTGATACTGACAGTTCCCTAGGCAAGATGGATTTGCAGCTCATGAAATCACTAGCGAATCAACACACAAAATGCCCTAAGCCATAGGCTTTTAGATGACATCTGGCCAAATACTATTGCTCCCTTTTGGTTTCCATGCCATTCAGAGAGCCCAAACCTAGAGCTAAGTGGAAAAGAGACACAGTTGTCCTTCTTGCTAAATGGGAAAACTTTAACCACTCTTCACATTCTAGAGTGTAAACTGCACTAGAACAGAATACACTAGATTGAACTTTGTGTGAATGGTCCCGTTTTACACACAAGACACAAACACCACACTCACATGCACAATTAGTGTACACATTTACCAAGATGAAATGAAATGAAAGGGTCCAAAAAATAAACCTGTATAGGGTATATCATAAGACTAAAAAGACCATTCGATCTTGGTATTCAAAGAATACTATTAAACCCAAAGATGAATTTGTAAAAAAGTAAAAGCTCCAAATGTGAACTGGGAGTGGGGTGGGGTAGGAATTGATAATGGCTGTCTTTCAAGATCAGACACACAGAGTGCAGTGGTTCCTAACTTTGGCTGCACATTAGAATTACCGTCAGGCTTGGTTCAGGCATTTACATTTTCTAACATGCCCCACTTGACTCCAAAGTACAGCCAAGACTAAGAGCTCAGAGAGTGGGAGTATCATATTGGTTATTGAGAATGACAGAAAAATTGTTCCATTAAAGTTTTCAGTTTCTGAGAACAGGAAGCATGTTTCCTTACTGAAAATGGACTCCTGCTGGCATCACTCTCCCTCCTCCCCTGCCTCATGTACTAGTACCCTCTATGGGCCAGAAGAGCATCTGAAGCTGCCTTTCAACAGGATAGAGTCTAAGTCATCTTATGCTGCTTTTTATCTGTTAGGTAAGAATCCTCATGCCCTGGTTTTCCAAGGAAAAACTCTTGAAGGCAAAGTGAGCTCACTAGATAGATGCGCAAGAGGGGAGGGGCACAACCATGCAAAGTGCATCTAAAAAGAGGAACGCAGGTCTTGGAGGGCCCTCACTGACTTATGCCTAGAGGTATATGCATGTCCAGGCTTGGATTTAGGCTACCTGGGTGCTCAAGAGATCATGTGGGGCACAATAACACCATCAATACATTGTCTGCTCCAATGAACATGTTACTGGGACACCCTGAATGTTCTCAAAGGGCTCACAAGAAAGTTTATTCATATCGACTCATATTCTCTCTCTCCCTACATTATACTTCTTGGAGTTTAAATTTGGATCTAAGTTTGGGATGGGGGAAAAAACGGAAAGAAGTGGTAAAAATGCTGCTTTTGCAGTAGAACCAGCAATTATTTCACCTTCGACCCCAGATTCTACGAGTTTAAACACAGACCATGCAGAGAACCAAGGGGCTGGTGGTATGGGCAGGGCAAGACACACATGCAAGAGAAGCAGAAAAGGAAGTGGAGTACTCACTTCACTTTCTTGGGACTAGGGCCACTTCTTTTCTTTCCCAGACTCTCTCACAGGCACAGACTGTTCTTCTTCTCTAACTTATACCCAGGATTGTTCCAGGACTGTATACCCAGAGTTGTTAGCTATCAACCAGAAATTTAATGCCAGTCTGCACAGTCCATGGTTTAACAGTAGTTTTTTTTCTCTGTACCCGACAGGAAGCAAGAAGTTCCAGGGCCCCAAGAGGTTCATGGGTACTATGTCGTACCCCTTATAACATATTTATTTTAGTTAATTATGTCTTTTGCCCCTTGTGGATTAGAAAAATGTGATTATCATCCAGAAATCACAGCTAAAGAAGGGTGGCAGCACAGTTTAAGGCACCATGCAAAAAAAAAAAAAGTGATCAAAGAAAGAAAGCTGTAGACACAAGCATGAGGAATCCAGTCTGAGATGAGCAGCACACGGTGAGACAGAAAACATGTTTTCAACCCATGACTCAAGAGCCCCTTTGACAAATGAACGTACTTAGCTTCCTCCACTACCTCCACCTCGGCATGAGCAGTGATTGGTGCATTGGAGTGAGTTCCGATGGGGTCATCGACATTCAGCTCTCCATTGGTTGAACTAACCACCTGAAACAGAAAGGCAGACTGTGACAAGCCCATGGCAATATTAGGCTCCTGCCAGCATCACAGCAGGTCATTAAAAGAGATGTGGTATCAAGCTTAGGCACTAGCCACGAAAGGGCTGAAATGTGTGTTTTCTTGAGTTAAGGGAAGATTCCCAATCTTCCCAGATCCTTATCAGGTGAGAATGCAATTCAATGATATAGTCATATAATGATGATAATAACCTCCACAGGGTGCCTGTTTTGTGTCAGGTATTTTGCTACATTATATGGTGTGCCTGTAAATTTAATTCTCACAAAACCCTATGTAATAGATCATTTTGCTGTCTTTTAATGGATGGAAACACTAAGAAATGATTTAACCAAGGGTTAAGTTAGAGTATGTGGACTTCCATGAAAGAAATTTATTCTAAACATAGATTCTTTAACATTGCAGAAATGCATACAGTACTTCATTAAATTAAAAATTAAAATATAAGTGTACAAGCTGACTTCTTTTTCTTTGTTTTTATGAGTCAGGGTCTCACTATATATCCCAGGCTGGCCTCAAAATCAAAATCCTCCTGCCTCAACCTCCCAACTGCTGGGATAAAAGACATGTACCACCATTCCCATTATTACAGCTAAGTTCTAAAGATAAAATCACTCTACTTTCTTGAACATGGTAATTTCTTAAGTAAATTCTAGTCTCTGCTTATTATACTACAATTATAGATTCAGTAATGATGGTTTTTTAAAAAATTCTGAAAAGTTAACCAATAGTAGGCACCAGAAATTGTAAACAATCACACTTTCCTTCAGAAATTTCTTCATTGTTTTGACCATTGGTTTGAAGTTACTCAAATAACAAGATTGCCACATTCTCTCTGGTGAGAGGGAAGACGGTAAGTAAACACTTTTCCTTGGCCAACCAGTCTTATTTCAACGACCTTTATTTCAGGTTCACTGTCATCCCACTCCTCACTGATGGTCCCCGAACTGTAAGTGAAGGCTCTCACTCCTGTCATCTGGTTAATGTGGACCCGATCAGGCTTCTCTTGCTTGTGTAGTTGCTTCTGCCACCTGGTTTCATTTCCAGCACATGATTCCTGTTTATGTGGGTGCTGGGGAGTGGGAAAAGGGACCCCGCTGGACAAACCATTCTGCTGTTAAAGACCTTGGCTGAAACATGGGAGAGAACCACAAAATAGGATAAATGGTTCAGATATCATATGCCCTTGGGTAAGTAACTTCATCTATGTGAATTTTTCTTACAGGTTAATGTGAGAATTATATAACAAATGTATGGGACAATGATGGGCACAATACTTGTTATATAATAATGGAGGCAGCAAGACACAGTAAGTAAGAACTGGGCTCTAGAATTAGCCTTAAGTTTGAACCCCAGCTCCACCACTTACTTGCTGTGGGTCCTTGGGCAAGGTCCTCAATCTTTCTGTGCCTGAGTTTCCTAGTCTGTAAAATGCAGAAACAATGCTGCTTACCTAATGGATTTACTGTGTAGACAATCCACAGAAAGTGCTTAGCCCAGTGCCATGATGCATTAATAGTTCAAGAAATGTTCATTTTACTGTTATTTGCCCTCTACAAATGTTTATTATTATCTGCCTCTAGCTCTAGCATCTTTACTAACAGCTAATTCACAAAACTTGCCTGAATAAATTACAAAGAGGAAGGCAGAAGGAATGTTTAGTGTAAGTAGCAGAAAAGATGACTAGAACCCCACCAGCAATGTAGAGCCACCATTATTTCTAAACCCGAATAATTACTGCTCTTATTAATAACACACGCTTTAAAGGATTAAAATAATGTTGTATCATTAGTGAAGAAATACCTACAATGTTAAATTTGTACTTGCCTGAGGGATACCCAAATTTTAGCTACTCATTAAATTTAATATCTCTGATTAGCATACAACCTGACTTTATCTCCTGATGTTATCTAGACAATATACTATTCACCCCTGCTCCAATAAAAAGGTTTCTTCTGAATATAATCATGATTAAAAAAATTAGAAAATTCAAAATGTAGGATATGTAGTTGTAGGACAACTAGCCTGCACTATTAAAAAAAAACTGATATAAAATTTTTTTTTAAATGCTGGTGACTGCTATTGACTAAAAGGGAATGGAAGTGACTATGGGACTGAAAGAGATCAAAAAGGCATAACAACCAATACAATGCATGAACCTTAGTTAAATCCCAGACACTATTAAATTTGTGGGGGGGGTAACTGGAACTGGGCAAAAATGAGATATGGACTGTTAGATATTATGGAATTATTAATTTTCTTAAATATGTCAGTGATGTTACAGTTATAAAGGAGAATGTGTTAGTTCTTAGGAGATACAGGTAGAAATATCTGGGGATAAGATGTAATGTATGGATCTTTCTTTCAAATGGTTTGGTAAGCAAACACATACTCATCCAACAGAATTAAAGCAAAACTGGCAAATCTTAACAATTCATTAATCTAGGTTAAGGATAGTTCCAAAATAAAAGTAGGGTAAAAACAACAAAAAGTTGAGGAGAGTAAGTTTAAAGGTTACAGAATCATTCTAATGCTAACATATTGATTGCCTCAATCCTACATATGCTTCTGTGGACACATTCTAGCCACACAGTATTGTGAACACTTAGAAGTTCATTCTGTGAGTATGATGACAGAAGTCATAGTAAGTTTCTTGCTTTCTTTTTTTTTTTTTTTTTGTGGGACTGGTGTTTGAACTCAGTTTCACACTTGCAAAAGCAGGCGCTCTACCACTTGAACCATACCTCCAGTCAATTTTGCTCTGGTTATTTGGAGATGGGATCTTGCAAATTATCTTCTTGGGCTGGTTTGGAACCATGATCCTCCTGATTTCAGCCTCCCAAGTAGTTAGGATTATAGGAGTAAACCACTGGCACCTGGCCATAGTATGTTTGTTAATGAACAACTGTGGAACTACACAAGATGTTACATAAAATGTCTTCACATAAGTTGGGTGTGGTGGTACATGCCTTTAATCCTAGAACTCAGGTTGGCAGGAGGATTGCAAGGTCAAGGCCAACCTGGGCTACATAAGTGAAACCCTGTGAAAGAATGAAAGAGAGAGACAGAGCTGGTGGAATGGCTCAAGTGGTAGAGTACCTGCCTAGCAAGCTTGAGGCTGGGGGGTAGGAAGGAGGGAGGGAGAGACAGAAAGGTGAGGGGGAAGGAAGAGGGGGAAGGGAGGGAGGGAAGGAAGGGGGAAAGAGAATGAAAGAAAGGTCTAGTAACATGAAAGAATTACCAGACTTTGGGTCATACTGAGTTGCTTGAATATCTTAAGGATGAAGGGGTATCCTTATTTTATAAATGACATCTTATGTCAATAAGCATCTAGACTCAAATGAATCAGGCACAAAAGGGATCATTACCACCATTTCTCTACCTTTAAACTTATTTGAAATATGCCTGGGGATCAATAGTCATGATAAGTCTGGGCCTTTGCAGCATTTCCTTATTTTAAGTTGGAGGCACAGCTTGTCAAACTACTAACTGCTGCCTGGATATGCAATAACAAACAGCAGTATGATGGACAGTTGGATTCTAGGCCTAGCTCTACCATCGACATCTTCTGGGAGTTTTCTAATTCTGTAAGATAGGGCCAATAACTTTTGCCCCTATCTACCCCATAATTACTATGACAAATACAATGTCTAGGAAAGAGATCTGAAAAGTTGTAAAGAACATTATGAGTACAGTGAATTTTAGGTATTTTCAGATGGGATGGTTGTCATTATATTGCTCATGCTCGCCTTGAACTCATGGTCTCAAATGATACTCCTGCCTGCTAAGCAACTGAGACTTGTCATGGTGCCCACCTGAAATTACTATTATTTTAAACAACATCATTGATATAACTTTAGGTTGAATTTTTTAGTATAACTTCATCAAAAAATAAGATTTGCATACCTGGAACACTGACATTTATCTTATGGTAATCACTATTAGCATTAATCATACTAGTCTTCCTGCTATATTATATAAGATCATATACAATTATTCATGAGAAAGTCTAATGCAAAATATTAATTTGACCTTTACTTCTCAGTATTGATAGTATCCTTTGTAGAAATCTCTCTTTTTTAAAAATTTGGATTATGAGTACTATTTTTCAAAATGTTAGACGGGGCTGGGATATAGCTCAATGGTAGAATGCTTGCCTAGCATGTTCAAGGCCCCAAGTTCAAACTCCAGTACTGCCAAAAAAAGTAATATAAAATAAAACTGATTTTGGGGGCTGGGGATGGTAGAGTGCTTACCTAGCATTCCTGGGGCCCTGGGTTTGATCACTAACACCACAATTTTTTTTACTTTTATTAGGTTTTTATTCATTAATTCATTAATGAATTATTCATTAGTTGCTTGTACTCAAATGGTTATCTAACTACCTTCTTACCTACTGCAGTGCTGGCAACTGAACCTAGAGCCTGGAGCATGCTAGGCAAGCACTCTACTACTGAGCTATACCTCTAGCTTGCTGTCATTTATTTTCATAATTTTGATGAAACTGCTCTCAAAACCTCCTGAGCACTTCTGTTTGGTGTGGGCTTCCCTCCTATACTGAAGACAGGTGTTACTCAGTAGCTCCAAATTTGTTATTATGTTGGGGATTACCCCTTTTGCTCCTTTGCTTTGGTTCTCTTGTTTCCTGGATCCCGTATATTCTTCTCTCTTGGTTTTTTTCTTTCATTTTGGTAAAACAAATCCTCTTGTAGCTTCTTATGAAAAGATGGAAGAGTAGTAAGATTTTTTGATGGCACAGATTTTTAAAAACATCTGTATATTGTATTCACATCAGATCGACAGTTTGGCTGAGTATAGAATTCTAGATAGGAAATAATTTTCCCTCAGATTTTCTTTTCTTTTTGATGGTAATGGGGCTTCAACTCAAGGCCTCGTACTTGCTAGGCTGGTGATCTATCATTTGATCCACTCTAACCACCCTATTGCTTTGGCTATTTTTAATTTTTTTTTTATTATTCATATGTGCATACAATGCTTGGGTCATTTCTCCCCGCTGTCCCCACCCCCTCCGCCTCCTCCCTCTCCCCCCTTACCCCCTCCATAGCCGGCAGAAACTGTTTTGCCCTTATCTCTAATTTTGTTGAAGAGAGAGTATAACCAATAATAGGAAGGAACAAGGGTTTTTGCTGGTTGAGATAAGGATAGCTATACAGGGAGTTGACTCACATTAATTTCCTGTGCATGTGTGTTACCTTCTAGGTTAATTCTTTTTGATCTAACCTTTTCTCTAGTTCCTGGGCCCCTTCTCCTATTGGCCTCAGTTGCTTTTAAGGTATCTGCTTTAGTTTCTCTGCGTTGAGGGCAACAAATGCTAGCTAATTTTTTAGGTGTCTTACCTATCCTCATAGGTCCCTTGTGTGCACTCGCTTTTATCTTGTGATCAAAGTTCAATCCCCTTGTTGTGTTTGCCCTTGATCTAATGTCCGCATATGAGGGAGAACATATGATTTTTGGTCTTTTGGGCCATTGCCTTGGCTATTATTGAGATAAGGTCTCACTTTGTGCCCAGGTCAGCGTGGAATATGATCTTCCTATTTTAGTTTCCCAGTGTAGCAGGGATGACAGGTGTATACCACCATGCCCAGCCATTGGTTAAGATGGGGGTTTTGGAAACTTTTTGCCTGGGATGGCCTCAAACCACAACCCTCTCAATCTCTGCCTTTGAGTAGCTAGGATCACAGGCTTGAGCCACTGTACATGGTCATTTCCCTCAGATTTTTGAAGGCATCATTCATTGCCTTTTAGCTTTTAATATTCTTCAGAAATTTGAAGCTATACTAATTCCTCATGCTTTCTTTGCATGTAATCTTTACTTTTCTGGAAGCTTGAATTTATCTTCTCTTTGTCCTCAGTGTTCTGAAATCTCACAATGATGCACCTTGGTGTGGTTCTATCATCCATTATGCTGGGTACTCAGTGAGGCCTTCTGACTTGAAATTAAGTCTTTTAGTTTTGGGAAATTATTTTGCTAATGATTTCCTCCCTTCACTTTCTCTGTTCTGTCTCTGGAACTCCTATACTTTTAGTATTTTCTTTTGGCAGTGCTGAGGTTTGAACTCAGGGTCTCATGCTTGCTAGGCAGGTGCTCTTTCCCCTTAAACCACTCCACCAGGCCAGGAACTCCTACACTTTAAATTGGATCTCCTAGACGTTCTTCAAATTTTCTTGTATTAGTGTCTCCTATTTTTCCTCTTTTTCTCCTTTTTGAGAGACTTCCTCAACTTTACATTCTAACCTAATTGAGTTTTTTTTTTTTCTTAAAGTTTCAGCAAGTATTTATTTTTGTATAACAGGATAAAGCAGGGAAAAGTGGGGGGGAAATTTCCTGTCCCTACACTGGAAATGGGAATAAAGACACGTCCCAGCCCTTTTTGCTTTTAGTTTATTTTTCAGATAGGGTCTTGTGCATTTTCCAGGACTGGCCTCAGATCTATCCTTCTACTTACATCTATTCCCAGCTGGGAATAGCCATTGGTACATGGCTGGGACAGCCATGTACCAATAAGCCCACCTTGTTTTTTTGAGATAGGGTCTTGCTAACTTTTGCCCAGGCTGGCCTCAAACTATGATCCAACCATCTCTGCCTCCCACCTTGCTGGGGATTACAGGTATTCACCACCATACCTGGCACCCCAATTGAGTTTTAAATTGCTGTTTATTATGCTTTTAATTTTCAAGGGCTCTTTTTTTTTTTTTGTGAAAAAGAATGTCCTTTTTTAAAATTGCTGTTGTTTTTCTGCTTCAAAAGTCTGATAACACTTGATTATTATGTGAGGAACTATACATTAATTGGCACCATGACAACTATGGATTGCACTCTGGGATGATTTGGCTGGGTCATGTCACTGGGGAAACCTTGATGTCAATATCCTTAGATATTTACTTTTGTGCTAGTCAGAGTTCCCACGCATGCTCTTTCAGTCTTTTGCCTGGAAAGTGCACACCTAGCAATTTGCTTTCTGAAGCACTACAAAGGGAAAGCATGCAGTCAGTAGGCACAAACTCAGTTACTTTCCCTCTTTTCAGCATAGCACTTTGCCTCCAATGGTACCTCACATTCCTTAGTCCAGAAACCCTCTCTTTTGCCCTCTTCAGAGAATTTTTGGTCTTTGATAGGGAAGGAAGAGTGTTCAGGGATCTATGGCTTCTTAAGCAGACTTTTAAGAGGCAGGGAATCAGTGGGAAGTGGGGGAGAAAAAAACAATAGATTTTGACCAATCTTCCTCATTTTAGTATATGCCCCTCTGCTGCTTCTCCACTTATAAAAAGTCAGTTCCTGAGCTTTTAGAAGTTCCCAGTGTAAACAGGCCTCTTGCAGCTTTTCCCTTTATTAGCTCAGAATTCAATTTTCTTGGGATTTCTGTCATTTAATAACTGCCCATCTGCCTTCCAACATTTTGTTGCGGTTGCCTTCTCTTCTGTTTTCTCCATCTTCATATGGACTTATGTCTTCTGAAAAGATTTCTTTACCACTGTTTCAGGAAGGGGTAAAAGCAGATTTGTGTGTTCAATCATCATTTTACCTAGATGTTCCTATAGCGGTCTTTATAGGGTCAAAGGCCTCCTGACCTCCTGTGAATTAACAAGATCTTTCAATGAATCAGTCCTTGTAAAACCATGTCCTAGAAGATAAATTCTCTAAAGATGCATTTCTACATGCAAACAGTTTATGTGTGTGTCTCAACTGGTGATGTCACTTACTAGTATGAGAAAAATACTCAGGTCAAGATTTTAAAATAGTCACATATAAGAAAAGTTAAGAGCCATAAGATGTTCCATGTACTAAACAGGAAGAGAGACTCAATCTAGTCCAAATGAAACCAGAAATAGTTTTCCAAACCACACATATTTCAGGAAGAAAAAAGGAAATAGACCACTTTCTTGGGTATCTGCTCAGAAACAAATGACTTACTCCAATCAACATTCCCAGGTTATCATGTGCTAAAAGCACGTATCATCGTAAAAGACCTAAATCTATAGTTTTCTAGTCCTCTATTCCAAAAATACTTATGCATTTCAGGTCTTTACAATTCACACACTTGAACTTACACACTTCTATCTTGATAATACTTTTGTAGTTTATCATGAGTGGACCAGGTTGTAAAGCAAGATTAAATCCGTATCAGAAATTATATGTTTCTTATTCAATGACAAGAAGCAGCAATGATTTCATCAAGTGACTCTTACTAAAGTTCACCGAGGCAGAAAAATCACAGATATTCAGTTAACTATAGAAGCAGCTTACCCTTGCTATAAATGTCCATTCTAAACAAACCTAAGTTTCAGAAGCAAGACAACATTCCACCAGCCAGGCTGGAAACATCAGGAAAGGTCAGGAAAAGGCAATAAACGCAGTAAGTACCTGCACTGATCCCCCATGGCGGTCTGCAGCCAAGTGAGACGTCAAGTATGAGGTATTGGTCTGCCGGCTGGGCTGGATTTCCCACTCTCCTCGGCGCTCTGATGATGCAGTCTGCTCAGGCATTAGGAAGTGTGCGAGCAAGATAGGGAAGGAAAGGTGAAGCAACAGCAAGCATTAACAAAACCAAGTACAATTAGTGCCCCTGCAGATTTTGTTTTTATTTTAGATTTTAAACTGAAAACTGCTGCAAAGAATCGAGAAAAAGTTAGTGTGGCAATATACATTCATTTTGGTCTAGAGCCAATACATGAGTGTAGAGCACAACATCCTCACACAGAAAAAAGTAATGGCCAAAGGGGAAGGGCCGAGCAAAAGCTGGAATCACATTTTAGCTTCCATATTAGTAAAAATTCAGTAGCCACCAAGTAGATCAAATTCAGAATGTTAAAAGACTGTTGAACAAAGGAACAGTTTAGAAATCATTTCACTGACCAAAAATCTATCTGAATAGGTAGTAAGTAGTCAATAAAGAAAATTCCTGCGTTAGGAATCAAGATTGTATGCCTCTTTCTTAACTAGGGAACTTATAACTCTCAAGATCAGCCTCCATGAAACCTTCTAAAAAAAAAAAACAAAAAACAATTAGCAATAGCAGTGGCTAGAATGTGCTTTCTTATCTAAAAGAATGAATAAAGTATCTTTTCAAAAGTAGGCTCCTACGTCAAGAATAAAGAAAGATGTGAAGGGGGGTGTAGATGTTGCTCAAGTGGTAGAGCACCTGCTTAGCAAGGAAAAACCTTGAGTGTAAACCCCAGGATCTCACACACACACACACACACACACACACACACAAAAGAAAGAAAGAAAGAAAGATCGGGGGTGGGGGGCAGGGTGATAAAAATAAGACTTGATTGTTTTCTGGTTCTCCTAGGTAATAGTCTCTAATTTGAAATGAGAAAAAGTTTACTAATTAACCTGACTACTATGAATTATTTTCTGCTAGAAACAATACACAGATCTTTTCTCAACAAAAGGAGAACCTTTAATTAAAAACCTCTTTAGATTCTGCATCTACCATCTTTGCTCTCTTCATTCTTTCTTTGCCTGTTTTTTTAAGATCTTATACTATTCTGATCTTGCTCCTATGTGACTTTTGTTCTGAAGAATCCATATGAGGTGCTTCTCCGCCATGCCAGACAGCTGAGGAGGTGTTAACATCACATTGCTCAGCTGTAACAGTCCTAAGTCTCTATAAAAATGAAAAATGAGTAGATGGAGAGGCAGCAATGAGTGTAAGTAAATCAAATTTTAGTTGCTACTGATAAAAATAGCAGCAAGTGTTGGAATAGGATACTGCTGCTCTGTATGAAAACCAGTGATGATCCTATAAATCTAAGAAATGTTCATTACTATAAAGAAGGAAAAAGAAGAACGGTCTGAGGTTCTTTATTCACTTTCCCTCACCAGGATTTCATTGACAAGAGTTGTTTAAAGCTCACTCATTATACCTACAAGGCATTTCCCATAAATAAGGTACAACTTACTCATCATTACTAATGGAATATGTAGTCACATGAGTAATAGCACTATAAAGGATCCTGGTCAAATTTTCTCTATCACTAGGGGGATGAACAGATTAGAAAGCAGCTGTACTAACTTAATTATTATGCACTCTTACAGAAGAGGGGTTTGTTTTATACTGATAGTTACATTAGAAAGTTGGAACTACTCCTAATGTCCACTCCCTCATTCTTCTTTTAATTTTTTTGGTGGCACTGGGGTTTGAACTCAGGATTCTCTATCACTTAAGTCACATCATGGGCCCCTTCTTTCTTTTTTAAAAATTTTTTTTGAAAAAGTCTTGCTAAATTGCTCAGGTTAGCCTTGAGCTTAAAAATCCTCCTGCTTCTTGGGTAGCTGGGATTACAGGTGTGTACCACTATGTTGGTTCCCTGCCCCCATTATTTTTGCCAATAGACATTTAGATGTTTCAAATTCCAAAATAAGGCTGCAATGTATAACACAATCATATTATTTTACAAACTTATTGACAAGTGTCTATATTCTCAGAGTACCTAATCTCTAATCATTAGACTAGAGATCTGAGAATAAATCTGCTCTTCTAGTATTAGAAATAATATGTATAACTAACATCTATGACAGCCTCTTCACTTCCTTCTGGGACTTTTTTTTTTTGTAATATTTAAGTTCTTAAACTATTATACAATACTGTCAGTTCTCCAAAAAATTAAATGCTTAAAAAATATCCAGACATATTAAGCTACTTAGTATTCTTTTGAGTTCTATGATAGATAGTCAATGTTACTGGGCTGGCAGTGTAGCTCAAGTGGTAAAGTGCCTGCCCAGCAAGCATAAGGCCCTGACTTTAACCTCCAGTACCACCAAAACAAAACAAAAAAAACCCTACTCAATGCAATTACTTCTCTCATGAATGCTGTTTTTGCATTTGTTTTTCAAGCAGAGTAAATGGAAAAAGAATGGGGATGTAGCTTGGTGGTAGAGCATTTGCCTAGCATGTGCAAGGCCCTGGGTTCAATTCCCAACACCATAAGGAGTAAAATAAAACCAGGTGAAAACGTACATACATACATACACACTAACTTGTGTGTTTATATGTGTTGCTTCACAGAAACAAACACAATCACATACGCTTTTTTTTTTTTTTTTTTTTTTAAGGTGACCTCAGGGCCTCATATTTGCTAGGCAGGTGCTCTTACCACTTGAACCACTCCATCAGCTCTTTTATGGTGATAGGTTGTTTCGAGATACGGTCTCTTGAACTATTTTCCCCAGGCAGGGTTTGAACTGTGATCCTCTTGATCTCTTCCTCCTCAGCAGGTAGGATTACAGGCATGAGCCACTGGCACCTGGCTTATTTCTATTTTTTACTGAAACATGTAACAAAGCTCTGGTTTAAGGCTACTGTCTGATTCACAGGGCTTGTTTGTATTAATTCTTTCTAAGTGTTAGAAGAATTAAGATTTTATTTAAATGTAAACAGCAAGCCATTTTTCAAAAGCCTAAAAGTCACATTGCCATCTCCATCCTTAAAGAGGGAAGAAAGTTAACATTCCAGATTATTCATAAATGCCCCCCACTGTGACAAAGGAAAGCCATACTATACCATACTACTACCCTCCAATACCCTCTATATCCACTGAAAGCAGTAAAACCAAGTTTTATTGGGATTTATTGTTTTATTACTTTGGAAAGTACTTTTTGTTAAAATGCTAAACTTTTGGACTTCTCTTTTCTGGAATTTAAAAGCTTGGACTGGTACCTAGAGGATGACGTATTAAAGAGCATTTGCCAGTTTTAGAAATGCCTAAGGGCTGAATGAAACCAAGGATGTTGACAACTATATATTCTGCTAGTGTTAACTTTTCCTAAAATGTATTTTAGTCAACACTATGTATACAGGGGCTACAATTAGGTACAATTAGCACAGTAGCTTGTTAGAATAAGCAAACCAATGGAGATCAGCATGTAAACCCTTCATTCTTTTTTTTTTTTCCTTTTTCTTTTATTATTCATATGTGCATACAAGGCTTGGTTCATTTCTCCCCCCTGCCCCCACCCCCTCCCTCACCACCCACTCCGCCCCCTCCCTCTCCCCTTAATACTCAGCAGAAACTATTTTGCCCTTATTTCTAATTTTGTTGAAGAGAGAGTATAAGCAATAATAGGAAGGAACAAGGGTTTTTGCTGGTTGAGATAAGGATAGCTATACAGGGAGTTGACTCGCATTGATTTCCTGTGCATATGTGCTACCTTCTAGGTTAATTCTTCTTGAACTAACCTTTTCTCTAGTTCCTGGTCCCCTTTTCCTATTGGCCTCAGTTGCTTTTAAGGTATCTGCTTTAGTTTCTCTGCGTTGAGGGCAACAAATGCTAGCTAATTTTTTAGGTGTCTTACCTATCCTCACCCCTCCCTTGTGTGCTCTCGCTTTTATCATGTGCTCATAGTCCAATCCCCTTGTTGTGTTTGCCCTTGATCTAATGTCCACATATGAGGGAGAACATACGATTTTTGGTCTTTTGGGCCAGGCTAACCTCACTCAGAATGATGTTCTCCAATTCCATCCATTTACCAGCGAATGATAACATTTCGTTCTTCTTCATGGCTGCATAGAATTCCATTGTGTATAGATACCACATTTTCTTGATCCATTCGTCAGTGGTGGGGCATCTTGGCTGTTTCCATAACTTGGCTATTGTGAATAGTGCCGCAATAAACATGGGTGTGCAGGTGCCTCTGGAGTAACCTGTGTCACAGTCTTTTGGGTATATCCCTAAGAGTGGTATTACTGGATCAAATGGTAGATTGATGTCTAGCTTTTTAAGTAGCCTCCAAATTTTTTTCCAGAGTGGTTGTACTAGTCTACATTCCCACCAACAGTGTAAGAGAAACCCTTCATTCTTAAAGACCACTCCTGCACACACATTTATCTAAAAGGCAATCAAGAGGCATATGGGTGGGAAAGTCATTCTTCAAGGTCAATTTCTCTGTATTACTTGAAAAGCAGAGGTCCACCAGACAGTGTATCAAGTAGTGGTACGTGCTTGGGAGAGCCCTTTAAAATCTTCAGTTGTGATTGCATTACCTACATGGAAATGCTTGTTTATTGTGTAGTAGGTGAATGAAGAAACAGCAGAGAATAAATCAAATGCAAAACTAACAAAAAATACCTAGGAAAAATACAGAAGACTTATAAAGATGTGAAAAATACCACCTGTGCATAGGGCAAAGGAAACAAATCTTTCCTTGCAATCACTTGGCAGAGATTAATGGACACTAACAAGAAGGGTGGAAAACACTGTCTGAAAACATCACAGATATCACCCCCATCTGTGGCTTGAAAATTATTTCATATTCTTATTGAAGATAAAGCTACTAGTTTGAAGCAAAAAGCAAATGAGTCATCAAATCCTTTTCTTCATATAAAGCTAATTTTGAGAAATTTACTTTGATTATATTTACAAAAAACCTTATCCATTTCGCTTTCTGGCTCTGAAAAATCTTTAAACGTTGCCACCAATAAAAAACATTTAGGCGCTGGTTCAAGCAGCAGAGTGCCTGCCTAGCAACAG